GCTCTTGACATATTTTCCTTTCAAAATTGACATAAAACACACTTTCCCACTCTAATAGCCCAGATTTTATTCTCACATAGCCCACATGTAGCCGCAGATAAGATTCTACCTCAAGATGTAAAAGTGGGGGGGGGGGGCGCGGAATTTAACAGCATCTGCATAATGTTCTCTCTACACACTGACTGTTGTTGGAAAATAGAAAATTAAAGGAAGGGAGGGAGGGAGGGAGGAAAAAAGAGGGAGGGAGGGAAGGAAGGAAGGAAGGAAGGAAGGAAGGAAGGAAGGAAGGAAGGAAGGAAGGAAGGAAGGAAGGAAGGAAGGAAGGAAGGTTCCATCTTGGATTCTCATAACCTCTTGTTCTGCAGTTCATGAATCCGATGCTGATGCTAAAAGGACAGTGTATGTAAATAGATTTTTGTTTTCAGTGAAGGAGACCTGGGAGAAGATGAAGTTATCTCTCTTTCTTCCAGAGTTATCAGATGGTGCATGCTCCTGAAAACCCTCACTCTCTCAAACTAGAGCACGTTCCGGAGTCACATGGCCTTCCTTATAACGCAGGCTGTCTTCAGTAGCAAACTCAAAGATCCATCGCAGTTTGCTATTGCAGTTTTTACAGCTCACATCTCGAACCACGTGGTGGCCAGTGAGCATGACCTGGTCTTGAACTTCACTGAATCGTAGGTTAACTACCTTGTTAAGAAGAAATGCTCTGCCAGTGGCCCTGTGAACCCAGTGGAGCTGAGTTCTGAGAGACTGGTCAGAATCGTATCGCAGTTTGCACGAGAGAACAGACAGGTACCACCGACATGATCCAGGAAAATGCTGCCCATTAGAGTTGAAGTTCTCAAAACCCCAGCAGCTGTGAGATCCACAGCTGCCTGCGGCTCTTTCCTCCTTAGCTGGGATGAACTGTCCTCTTTTTTAGGGATCCAAGAAGAGTGTTGATTTTTTAATTTGTTCAGCTTTTTATGTGTTGTTAGGACAGAGTAGTGACTTCCAAGCTCCTTACATGCAGAACTAGAAACCCGAAGTCTCTCCTTAAAAAAATGTTTGTTTTTTTTTAATTATAAAAAGCATATAACATAAAATGTATCATCTTTTTTTTTTTTTATCCTCACCCAAGGACATTTTTCCATTTTTTGTTCAGATAGAGTGGGAGGAAGAGAGAGAGAGAGAGAGAGAAACATCAACATGAAAGGGACACATGGAGTGGCTGCCACCCACATGACCCAACCAGGGCCGGGGACAAACTGCAACCGAGGTACATGCCCTTAGCGGGAACCGAACCTGGGTCTCTCTGGACTGCAGGCCGACGCTCTAACTGCTGAGCCAAACCAGCCAGGGCTCATCCTAACCATTTTTAAGTATATAGTTCACTTAAGTTGTGAAACCAATCTCTAGAACTTTTTCATCTTGCAAAACTGAAACTCTAAAGAACAATATAAACACAAGCAAAATAGAAACAGACTTATAGATGCAGAGAATAAACTGATGATCACCAGATGGAAGGGGAGTTGGGGGCAGGGCGAAAAAGGTGAAGGGATTGAGAAGTGCAGATTGGTAGTTACAAAACAGTCATGGGGATGTAAAGTACAGCATAGGAAATATAGTCAGTAATATTGTAATTGCTTTCTGTACTACCAGGTGGTCCTGGAAAAATTAGGGAGAACACTGGAAAGTATATGAATGTCTAACCCCTATGGTGTACACTGGAAACTAATACAAAATAATACTGAATATAAACTGTATAATTTTTTAAAAAAATTTTTTAGAGAACTATAACTCTATACCCATTAAACAATATTTATCCTTTCTCCCTCACCCTAACCCCTGGTAACAACCATTCTACTTTTCTGTTTCTATTTGATTACTTTAGATACCTGATATAAGTGGAATCATACAGCATCTGCCTTGTGACTGGCTTATTTCACTTAATGTAGTGTCTTTGAGGTTTATCCATGTTGTAGCATATGACAGGATTTCTTTTTTTTTTTTTTTTTTTAAGGTTGAATACTATTCCATCGTGTGTGTGTGTATATATATCACATCTTTTATTCATTTATCTATCAGTGGGCATTTGGGTTGCTTCTACATCCTGGCTGTTGTTTATAGTACTGCTGTAAAACATGTGTACAAATATCTCTTAAGACTCAGCTTTCTGTTCTTTGGGATATATACCCAAAGTGGGTCATATGGTAGTTCTACTTTTAATTTTTTGAGGAACTATCATATTGTATCATTTCATCCTCACCAACACTTATTTATTTTCTTTTTCTTTTTTTTTTTTTTTTTAATCCTCACCCGAGGATATTTTTCCATTTTTTGTTCAGATAGAGTGGGAGGGAGAGAGAGGAAGGGAGAGAGAGAGAGAAACATCGATGTGAAAGGGACACATCGAGTGGCTGCCACCCACACGACCAACCAGGGCCGGGGACAAACTGCAACCGAAGTACATGCCCTTAGCGGGAACCGAACCCGGGTCTCTCCGGACCGCAGGCCGACACTCTAACCGCTGAGCCAAACTGGCCAGGGCTATTTTCTTTTTCTTCCTTTCATTTTTATAGTATCATCCTAATGGGTGTACTATCTCATTGTTTTGATTTGTTTTTCTCTCATGATCAATGATGTTGAACATCTTTTCATATTCTAGTTGACCATTTGTATGTCACCTTTGAAGACATGTCTATTCAAGTTCTTTGCCTATTTTTATGTTTCTTCTTTTCCCTATACTTCTCCTCCTTTCAACCTTTATTCCTTTTATTGACTCCACCATTACTTCTGATGTCCTTATTTTTCAACCTCTGTGAGTTCTGCTGCTTTTCCTGCTGATTTCCGTTGGCTCTTTTTCCCTGTGCTCTTCCTTTCTGTAGCTGATTTTCCTCTTCTGACTCTGCATTTCTCCTTGCTCATTTTCAGCATCTGCTGATGCAGCTACTTTTCTGCTCATTTTGCCTCTACTTTCTTTTCATGTGCCTTTCTCTTTTGTAGTTGTTTTTTCTTTAGCTGGCTCTAGCTGCACTTATGTTTTCCTCCATTTCAGTGTTTGCTTATTCTGCTGCCCTCTCTGCCTGAGGTTCTCCTTTCTTTGTGCTACTCCTTTTTGCAGCTAGTTTCCTTTCGCTGAATTTGTCCTTGCTTGGCTTTCCCCTCAGTGACTTCTGAGTCTGTTGCCTTTTCTGCCTCTGCTTCTCCTTTCTCTGTGCTTCTCCTTTCTGCAGCTGGTGTCCTTTGGATGAACCTCGCCCTGCTTGGCTTTCCCCTCAGTGCCTGCTGAGTCTGTTGCCTTTTCTGCCTCTGCTTCTCCTTTCTCTGTGCTTCTCCTTTCTGCAGCTGGTGTCCTTTGGATGAACCTCGCCCTGCTTGGCTTTCCCCTCAGTGCCTGCTGAGTCTGTTGCCTTTTCTGCCTCTGCTTCTCCTTTCTGCAGCTGGTGTCCTTTTGATGAACCTCACCCTGCTTGGCTTTCCCCTCAGTGCCTGCTGATTCTGTTGCCTTTTCTGCCTCTGCTTCTCCTTTCTGCAGCTGGTTTCCTTTGGATGAACCTCACCCTGCTTGGCTTTCCGCTCAGTGCCTGCTGAGTCTGTTGCCTTTTCTGCCTCTGCTTCTCCTTTCTGCAGCTGGTGTCCTTTGGATGAACCTCGCCCTGCTTGGCTTTCCCCTCAGTGCCTGCTGAGTCTGTTGCCTTTTCTGCCTCTGCTTCTCCTTTCTCTGTGCTTCTCCTTTCTGCAGCTGGTGTCCTTTTGATGAACCTCACCCTGCTTGGCTTTCCCCTCAGTGCCTGCTGATTCTGTTGCCTTTTCTGCCTCTGCTTCTCCTTTCTGCAGCTGGTGTCCTTTTGATGAACCTCGCCCTGCTTGGCTTTCCCCTCAGTGCCTGCTGATTCTGTTGCCTTTTCTGCCTCTGCTTCTCCTTTCTCTGTGCTTCTCCTTTCTGCAGCTGGTGTCCTTTTGATGAACCTCACCCTGTTTGGCTTTCCCCTCAGTGCCTGCTGAGTCTGTTGCCTTTTCTGCCTCTGCTTCTCCTTTCTCTGTGCTTCTCCTCCTGCACCTTGTTTCCTTTTCCTGACTCCCTGCTTCTGCCCTCTCCCCAGTGCCTGCTGATTCTGCAGCTCTTTCTACTAACTCCAACCTTGCTTTTCTTTTTCCTAGTGATACTTTTCTTTTTGCTGATTCTGCCTCTCTTTTTGCTGATGCTGGTTTTCCTTCTCCTGCTCGTGTTGCTCCTGCTAGTTTTGCTGCTTCTTCTTCTTCTTGGTTTTCCACTTTTTTGTACATCATCTCTGACCTCCTTGTAACTTCAGTATTGCATGATTCTTAATGGCTACTCCAATCCTGACTGCACCTTATGGCTCCACTTATTACTGCTCCATGTCTCATTTTTTTCAATTTTAATTTACTCCTCCACCTGAATAAGCTGAATATAATATTGAAATCATGGTACCATGTCATAGAGTGCTGGTTAACCCATTGACTAGCTGCTACCTTAGATGCTCACCTCAGGAGCAGTGAGCCATGCTCAGGCTTAGGAGTAGAAGGGTGAATCACGTGGTACAGGACATACCCAGTCAGGCCACAGGGATGGAAGCTAATCCATAGTCTTTAAAAGGGAGTGTGCCTGAGTCAACAGTAATGGTCTTCTTTTCTGGAAGTGAAATGAGCAGTTAGCAAGCAGTGAGGTGATATTGTGGAGAAAGTTACTCTTTTTAGAAAGCTCGGTGAAGAGACATGAGAAATTATGGAAGACAGCTAAGCAGTTATGTTGAATATTCCTATATGGACAAGGGGGGAAGACTGATGACAAATAAGAGAGAGAAGAATAGAGGGAACAAGGTATTGTAGTAAATGGGGTTGAAATATTAAGAGCACAGGATTGAAGGATAGACCGCAATGGAAGATGTGATACCAAATCCCTTTGGAACAAGCAGAACCAGGAGGGAAGGTTGGCCTTCTCCACTGTTATGTGCTGCTGATGTGGGGTCTCACTGTTTTCCTTTCTGTTGCAGGTCCTGAGTCTGTGCCTCCTTCCCTTCTCAAGGTAGTGATGAAACCCATGGCAGCAGTTGGCAAAAGCTACCAGTACCCTCCTGTGAACTGGGCTGCACTGCTCTCTCCACTCATGAGGCTAAACTTTGGTAAATATCAAGTGTTTTTAGGTCTTTAGACTGATTTTAGGGTGTGACCTGGGTAGAAAACTGGGTTCTGTGTCACAGGTAGCACTAACCAGGGATTTAGAGGTTTGACTGGGTAGACGGGACCACTGTCTCTTTATAAATAGTTGAGGACGAGGAGGAGGAGGTCTGAAGACACAGACAGATGCAGAAAGATGCACTCATCGTGACGACACTTGACTGAGACCTGCCCGTGGCTGGGCATCTGTTGCAGGCACCAGAAAGCCGGATTGCTGTTTATCAAACTGAGCTTCCTGCGCCCTAGGTTTCAAGGAAGTAGACGGTGGGACGCTGTAACAATTTCCTGCTGCTGCTGTAACAGATTTCCACAGACTCAGTGGCTTGAACCAACCAGTGGATTTATCTTATAGTTCTGTAGTTCCAACATGGTGCTCTCTGAGCTAAGGTCAAGGTATCAGCAGAGCTGCATTATTTCCTAGAGGCCTTAGGGGGTGCTGTAGTGAGAACATTTGCACTCCCCCCAAATCCATATGTTGAAATCTTAACCTCCGGTATGATGGCATTAGGAGGTGGGGCCTTTGGGAAGTGATTAGGTCACGAAGGTGGAGCCCTCAGCAATGGGATTAGTGCTCTCATAAAAGAGGCTCCACAGAGCTCCCTCGCCCCTTCCGCCATGTGAGGACACGGTGAGACCTTGGCAGTCTGCAGCTCACAGGAGCGTCCTCACCGGAAGCTGACTGTGCTGGTGCCCTGCTCATGGAATTCCAGCCTCCAGAACTGTGAGAAATAAGTTTCTTTTGTCTATAAGGCGCACAGTCTTTGGTCTTTTGTTATAGCAACCCAAACAGACTAAGAAAGGGGGAATCTATTTTCTTCCCTTTTCTAGCTTCTAGAGGCTGCTCACATTTCTTGGTTTGTGCCCACTATCCCCGCTTCATCATCAAAGCAACAGAGGGCTGAGGCCTTCTCATGCTGTTGTCTTTCTGGTTCTCTGCAGTTGGACAAGGTTATCCACCTTTAAGGACTCATGCAATTAATGAGTCCAATTGAATCATCCAGGATAACCTCCCCACCTCATTAACTTTAATCATATCTGCAAAGTTCCTTTGCCATGTAAGGTAACATATTCACAGGTTCCAGAGATTAGGATGTGGACATCTTTGGGGGCCATTATTCTATCTATATCGCAGGTACTTGTGGTAAGAGGCAAAGGGAATGCCTACCTCCACACCCCTAATTCATCCACAGCAACTCTTCTATGGACTTAGCACATGCAAATTTAATTTCACGTACCTGCCCCTCACCTCCAAAAAAGAGAGAGAGGGAGGGAGGGAGGGAGGGAGAGACAATAATTTTAACAATGCTGTAATTATGGACATTTGCACATATTTGTCACGAGTGCTATTTTTTACAGTAGGGTGCTTACTTATACATGATATACAGAAATATTTGTATGCCGTAATGTATGTGCAATTTAAGGGATAACTAAAGGTGATTTTGACTGTACACATTTTTTTATTTAAATGCTTTCACTTTAACCAAATCCCTGTATAAGTTATGATGTTACTGTACTGTTATCAGAGATTTCATTTGAAAAGTTGGTCCTTCTGCCCCTCCCCTGCTTTATTGAAAATGTCAGTGTTTTAGTATAACTCCTTAGAAAAAAGAAGAAAACACATCTACTGATGGGGACCAGGCTGTTAAAAAGACTCGACCACTGCACCATGTGACTCGGTCTTTAAGTCCTTCCAGATCTAGACAGATTTCTCCGTGTGCTCAATGCAAGGTGGAGAGGAGGGAAAAACAGGCAAAGAGATTGTTAGCTCAAATCTTCTCAAACATCTGATAGAATTTGTTTAGGTTTACCTGAATACCACGAGAGCGATCACCCTAGCTAGCTCAAGGCCCTTCGCAGTCGTAAGGCTTGGGATTCTGATGCCAGTGGATACATTCTTTTACCTCATCTCTGAAAGGTTTCTTGAAATACCTCTTGGTTTACTGAAGTTCTGTTACCTGTAGAAGTCACACAAGCAGATGCTTTGATTTGAGACACTGAAGTCTGGAAAGCAGAAAAACAGCTACACTAGATATTCTTTTTCTTTCTTCTCTTTCAGGTGAAGAGATACAGCAGCTGTGCCTTGAAATTGTGGTGACTCAGGCGCAGTCGTCCCAGAACGCAGCTGCACTGTTGGGACTGTGGGTGACGCCCCCGCTGCTCCATGGTCTTAGTGTATGTTGTAACTAAGCGTGTTGGGCAGCAGGAAGATACAGTAGTTCTTTGGGGGAGATTAACATTCATTTGTGTGTGTATTCTCAAAATCAAGAGCAGACAAGTGTGATTTTATAAGAACTGAGGGTTTGACAGAGGCCAGCCGAGTGGAAAAGTGCGTGATCCAGACCTCTGCCATAGCTGTCACCATTCATGCTACCAGCTACAAAAAGGACAAATGATGATCAGAGAGAGTCAGATTCCTTTCTCAAGTTCAGACAGCTAGGAAGTTGTAGAGCTCTTTGAACCTAAGTGTATTTGTTTACATGATACACGTAATCATTTCAGTAGGTATTAAGAGAAAGACAAAGCCATGTGTTCAGGATATGCAATCCCTCCCTTTCACAGAAAAAAGCAGCAATTAAGGTGAGCCTTGGCTAGGTAGGATTTGGTTAGGCATCGAGTTAGAGGCACCAGGGATATAGGTGCAGGGAGGAGAACATCTCTACGAGGGAGTCCTGCCTGGGCGTAGTGCTGAGGAAGAAGTGATCTAGCCTGGTTATTAGTTAATTACCTTGTGTCGGGGCTAATAGTGCTTGTTTTTCTGTCATACTCCTTTCTTCATTCCAAAAGGCCGGAGGAAACATGCCATGCTTCCTTAGAGGTTTACCAATGGACTCTAAGTCCACTGACCTTATCTTTGTCATCCTTCTATTCTAGGAGGCTTTAATTCTTTGAGAAGACTTCAAAGTCCTCCTATTATTTCCTTGAACTTCTGGCTTCAGTCCCCACTCTTCACTTTTTCTCTATGAGCTTTGCCTACATCTCCTAATACTCAACTGCAGGTCAATGTTATCGATGCCTGCCTGTCTGTCAGCTCTCATCATTACCTGTCTGCTCCAAGCAGCTCCCTTCCAGCTGCCGCTTAATGAGCGCTTGTCGCGTCCCTGCTGCTTGTCAGCTCTCAGTGAGGACTTTCAGACATAGATTAAATTCCTTCAACCCTAACAGGCTGCCTTTTTATTTTTTTTTTACTTTATTGAGTTAGAATTTCTATTCCACAAAATATGGCCATCTTACGTGTAATTTGAGTTTTGGTCCATTTATACATTCATTTTGCCTTCTTAAAAGAACTTTCATATAAAGTTTAGAAAATCTTTAGAATGGAATCATACACTATGAAGTCTTCTGTGTGAGGCTTATTTAACTAATAAAATAAGCAGTAGATTTTATTACTTCCATTTTATAAGTTGATCAGCTGAGGCAAATGGCGGTTAAGCAAAGTCCACATATCCAACAAATGAGAGTCTGGGTGACCACAAAGCCCATGTCTTAAACACCATACTACTAACTGCTTCCTTTTGAATCAGGTGTGACTCTTCCAGCCTTTGTTGTTGACCTCAGAAATTTTTCTAGGTTTTAGTTTTCTTTCCATTTCTCTTTCAGATCTGTGCTACTCTTTTGTTATCTTTATTAATTAATAAATTAACTTTGTGAACTCATTTTCCTTCTCATTTAAAAAAAATGGTCTGAAATGACATTTTTTTTAAGTGAGCTCTTCAGATAAGACATTGAACTTTTTAGAAGTTTACTGATTTTTTTCAGACTTTGTTTTTTATACCACTTCTTTTAGACTTGCTGTTCCTTTAGTATCTAATGTTTGTTTCTAGGAATTTCTGAAGCCTGCTCTTTTAAAGTCTGGCCCAGAGCCATTGCTAACTGCACCCCTTCTTAGCTCTCGGGGACTCAGGTGCCAGGGTCAGTTTCACGTACTCAGCTGTTCTTCTCTGGCCAGCAATGGTCTCTCCTGCCAGCTCCTCTTATCATGTCCCTGTGCTGCCTCAGAGGAGGGAATCAGGACTCTCAGGTACCCTGTTTAGTTGATTTCCAGCAGACAAGCCTCTCATCTTCAGGAGCTTTTCGTAACAAAAAAATGTGGCTTGTTAAGCCTGAATAGCAGCAACTGTGATGTAGCATTTGATTCCCCTCACTGAAAAGATCCTAGGTTCATCTGAGTAGCTCACAGATGGATTGGCAGATACCGTATATACACATGAGTCAGGCTGGATAAGAAGTCACTGCAGGAGCCAACATCACATGCACTGGTGGCCCACTGGACCGGAAGCTGTGGGAAGTTGAGGGGCAGGAAGCAATCTGAGCCTCGTATCTCTTGGCCTGCTCTCAAACGCAGTGATGACCCGGAAGTTTTCAGCATTGCAAACCCACACCTGCCTGTTTACATTTGACCTCTTCTGTTTTCCTTCCAGCTGAATATCAAGAAATACCTCCTGGTGTCTGCACCTCTGTGGGTCAAACATGTCTCTGAGGAGCAGATCCTGGGTTTTGTTGAAAACTTAATGGTGGCAGTTTTTAAAGCAGCTCCCCCACTTTCCAATCCTGAGTTATGCCTGAGCGCCTTGCAGGGTCTGAGCCAGGCCATGAAACTGCCCAGCCCTGCCCACCACCTCTGGAGTCTGCTCTGCGAAGCTACTGGGAAAATTTTTGACCTTCTGCCAAATAAGATTCGGGTGAGGAACAAAAATATTTACATTCCTGACAATTTATGTTTGGGATTTTTTAAGCCGTTTTGGCAAAGCAGGGAGGTGTATGTTTTCAGAATGTGGTGGGAAGGCTAGCAAGAAATAACCACGTCCTTCACTAAGAATGAGTTTGCTTCCAAGATCTAAATTGAGGTTGAATATTTCAAACCAAAATTTTGAGCAAGCTCAGAAGCTGGTTAACCAGTGCCGTGCCACCAAGTTCGCTCTTGGGTTTACCAAATACCTGTAGAAGTTGAGCTCATAAACCCTTACACTTCACACCTAGAGAGTCCCTGGGTATGTGGTTTAATACACTGTTCATATGAAGTGGAAGTGACTTAGTACTAGCCTTTCCCCTTCCCCAACAGACCCCCAAATCATAATTTTACAAAGATGTTAAAAATCATTTGGAATGGTGGATCCTGAGGAGAAAAAAGAACAGTCAAACAAATGCACAAAATAACAACAAAGATGTTTTATAAACGAGAAAAAAATTGACTGCATGTTTTGGTTTTGTTAAAATTAAAATGTCATCAGTTGCTGTCCATGGAGATAAGCAAATCTAATAATTTTTCGGAACATTAGGAATATACATGCCATACATTGTACTTTGACATGCTTGGGCCTTTTCTTTACCAGAGAAACGATTTAGAGCTGTACACCAGTGTGGCCAAGTGCCTCTCGGAAATGACAGATGATGAAGCCACGCGGACTGCCCCGGTTACTGAGGTAGTAACACATCTATGTATTTTTTCATTATTGAGGCTAGATTTGCTTCCTACTTGTTACTGTTCATTTCAGAAACCTATCTGTGTTTCACTCTGGGTCTTGTATCCGGCTGAGTCATGTGGTTGGTTCTTAACAAATGTTTTATGTAATAACTTTTTAACCTAATTCATCCCACTTTATCAAGAACACTTTAGTGTCGCCTGTGGGCAAAAAATGAGTACAGGGCAATGTCTTTAATACAAAATGCACAAGAATGGGAGTATTCTGGCAATTCCAAGATGGTGGCAGATCAGGTGGAATATTCTGACCAAAGAACTTTCTGGTGCAAGGAAGGCATAACTAAATAGTTCAGGTTTCACATTTATTTTTCTTCTCTTGATACTTATCCTTTTGGAATGAAAAAAGGCGAATGATTGAAAAGCAAGCGCAAGATAACTAACAAGTACCCTCACACCTATGCCCAGTCAATTGATGAATGAGCAAAAAGTAGCATACCAGGAAGGTTGCCAAATTTGGCAAATACAATAAATTTGAATTGCAGACAAACACTTTTATACTAAAAATATTATTTGATACATGCCAGTGGACATACTTATTGAAAAGGCAATCCTGCATACCAGGTACTATCAAAGTTCTGTAGAACTGTGAGCCCTCATGTAGCTGGTGGACCGCTTATTCCACTTCAAGGAAGGTTTTGCCTGTCCAATCCAAGCCTTGAATTTCTGCGTCATATAGCCATGCTTCACAGAATATGGTCTCTGGACCAGCAGCATCATTATCACCTGGGAGCTGATTAGATATGCAAAGTCTCAAGCCCCACCCCAGACCTATTCAATCAGAAACTCTGGGGGTAGGGCCCAGGAATCTGTGTTCTAACAGTTCTCTGAGGGGTGAGAACCACTGTTAGAGTATTTGGAATGTCAACAATTTGGACACGAGGTTATTTTAAGCAAGGAGAAGCAGTGCGAGGAGATCCTTACGTGAATGGACTCTGCACCCTCACTGCCAGGGTTGGAAATCCAGCTCCAATGTACCAGTCAGTGTGATTTTCACAGCCTCTTCCTGCGTCAGTTTCCTCATCTGTAAAAGGGAGATGATAGCACCTACCTGTTTGGATTAATTTGTGAGTTAAATGATTTAATCCACATAAGTTGTTGGGAAAGTGCCTGACCCAAGACAAGTATTCAGTAATGATTTATCATCATAATTATTATATTCATGCCATTTGTTATGTCCTACTATTATATTCATGTAATATAGTCAGAAGTAATACATACAATTTACTTCGTGGTACCTAGAGCTAAAGATTGCTGTGTTATTCACTTGGGTTCCTAAGGTACCATTCAGAACATTGTCACCACAACATACTAGTCTTCTGATGTCCCCTCCCCCGATGAGTTAGTATGTTCCACTGAGGTCAGAGTTTTCACTTCTGGAAAGAATAGAGGTAAGAAGGTTGTAGTGGTGAAGACCTCAGACTCCCTGGGCTCCAATTTATTTCTGCCACTATAGCTGTGCGTGCCAGAGCAATTACCCAACCTCTGTGCTTCAGTCTCCTCATCTGCAAAGGTGGGATGAAAATAGTACTTGATTGCATACAATTGGTTTCAGAAGTCAATGGTTAAACTTTTTGTCTTGGGACCTTTTAGTGTCTTAAAAATTGTTGAGGGCTCCAAAGAGCTTTTCTTTATATAGGTCATATCTGTCAATATTTACCATATTGGAGATTAAAAGCTGGATATTTAAAAAATATTTACTTAAAAGTAATAATAATAAACCTGTTGCATCATAAATAAGAAAAAAATATTTTCCAGAAAATCAGAGAAACTAGTAAGGCAAGTGGCACTGTTTCCCATTTTTGTGAGTCTCTTTCATGTCTTCCTTAATAGAAGACAGCTAGATCCTCTGCTGCTGTTTTTCAGTCTGTTGTGCCATTATTTTGGTGAAGTATGTGAAGAAAAGCAAGCCTCATACAGATATGTAGGTAGGAAGGGGAAGAGTTATTAATAGGCTTTTCAGATAATTGTGGATCTCTTTCTTTGATATTGCATGAAACTCAACATGTGGTAGTTCCTAGTAGGTTAGCTGCAGTGCGGAATCTGAAGTCATCAGTGAATTTCACATACTCTGTTACATTAAAATCCACTCATCTGGTTTATAGTCTGGGTCTTTTACCGAAGCATGATTTTGTAATATCATACATTGGCCATGTAAAAAATTTTGAATCACTAAGTTTTGAAAATCTGACAAATGCTGATATATTTCATTATATAATATAATATCAAAACATCGTATTTGTTAATATCACCAGCAATCTCACCAGAAAAGTCTTTATGTATTGGGAAACCTCCAAACTCATATAAGCAGATACAAATTTTCCAAAAATCGAATTTTGCTTGAAAATTCTGATTGTATTATTGGCAGTGAATACTGTGCGGGGGCATGTAGGAGGCAGCCAATAGATGTTTCTCTATCTCTCTCCCTCTCCCTTCCTTTCTCTCTAAAAATTAATAAAAACATATTGTTTTAAAAAGATGTATACTCAAAAACAAAGGTTTAATGAAACTAATAATTTCTATTGTTTATAGGAGCAATTTTCAACCTGTGTGCCACAAGAATTTTTAAAACTTGCAATACCTAACTGTTTAGTCAAGGGCCCTGACCTCTTTTCCCTTAGATTGTCAAATTAAAAAATGATAACAGCCAACACAACAATAGCCATCCAATGTGAATAAATCAAAACTATACCTTTTTTTGTTTGTTTGTTTTTTGTCAGATCGGCAAAATGCAATATTTTTTTTGGTGTGCCGCAGAATTTTAGTAATTAGTTCGGGTGTGTCAGGCAGTTGGAAATCACTGGTTTACAGGGATGTTTTAAGTAAAACTAGATTTCTCAAAAATTTCAAGTGGCATTGAAAAATAGGAGTATTACTACAGTTTGATGCTATGATAAATATAGTTTGCCCCCACAAATGCTCTAAAAGGGTTTTGGGGTCCCCCAGAGGTCTGCATACCCTCATTTTGTGAACTGCCAAATTAATATGTGCTGAGTGCTTACAATGGTGCATGGCACATGGTAAATACTCTGTTAGTTATCATTGATATTCTTTGTATATTCTTACTAAATATTATCACCACTTAACCCCGAAATCATTTATAGTTTTTATGAGAAAACAGGAGTTGACATTACAACACTGGATCTGCATGTACATTTTAATAGAGCATGCAGGCAGGTAGGTCAGGAAATGAACAGTTTTAGCATTCGGAATAATAATCAACTTCACACTCACCCTTTCTGTTTTGCCCTTGCCCCGAGGTTCTATAACAACTTCAGTTAATTTAATAGTAACTGAACAATTGGCTTTTTTGCAGAGCAGCATAGAAAAGGCTGCCTTTGTCAGACTGTACTTGATCTCTCAAGGACGGTTCCCCTTGATGGGCTTGAATGATATGCTCAGTGTCGCTGTTCAGCACCATGAAAAAGACACACTGGCTTGGATGATCCTGCACAGCTTGTACCAGGCACGGATTGTGAGCCATGCCAACACAGGTGAGGCTGGCGGGGGGCCAGCATCAGGAACAGCAAGGTCTGCCTACCATCCCTTTAGAGTGGTAATTGTTACCCCAACTTAAAAACTGGTTCAGTGCTTCTTGACACAGTGGGGGACTCGCTCCTGCGAATGAGGGGCACTGTGGCTGGAGCAGTTACAGCTCACAGCATCCCCTCTGGAGATGGGAATTCATTCTTTTGAGAATTTTAACCTTGTCTTTGACCCTCAAGGATATGAATAAGTTTATCAGGTAGATTCTGCCTGCTTCACTTCCTCAAACAGACAGGATATCCATTGATTACGCCTGATGTTTTTATGAAAATGGCTTTGTGTTGTCGTTTAACAAAGAAACGAAAAGCAGCAACAATGAACTTGAATAGTTATTCCATGAACTTCTCAAGGGTGTGAAGAATAGAATCTGTACAACCTAACTGCGTCCTCAAGCCAGGCCTACAGCTCTGCTACTGAAGCATATGGAGCAATTTTTAAACCATTGTACACATTGGTCTTGACTAATCACCTGAACAGGGAACTCCTTCCTTCTCCTCCCACGCTCCCGATTCTATGATTAGAAGTCCCCGAGTCTGCATTCAGGTTCTGAGTGGCAGCCGGCTTACGTGATCAGAAATGCCTGGGAAGCCCTGTGACCCTCGGCAAGTGACTGAGCTTTCTGTGCCCCATTTTCCCCATCTCTTGTGTCTTTAAAGCTTTGAGAGAAAACTGGCAAACATAACTGTAATACTCTTTTTCAAAACTGGATGGGAAGTTTTTATTCCTCGTCCTCTTTGACAGCTGAGATAGTTATCTCGTATCTGTGTTAGTGCTTGACCAATGAAAATTGAACCTGTGATGAGAAACTAGAATTTTTTACTCTAAGTCAAAACTATATTTATCAGGGGAAAAAAAAAATCCAGTAGGTGTTCCCAATTAAGCATGAAGATAATTGAAGCAAATTGAAATAAATTTGATATTGCCCTTGATTCTAACCTTCAAAGTTAGTTCCCATATTTTTTTTATTCACTAGAATTTGAAAACCTTCTCAAGTAGTTTTTACTATAACAGGAATCCTCATTTTTAAAAAATAATAAAACAAAATCAATATTTATGTTGTTTATGCTCCAATTACCCTATAATGTCTGGTTTTTCTTTTTCTTTTTGTGTCTTTGGGATAGGTTTTCTCTGTGATTTTGGCGTAAAGTGGGAAAATTTAAGCTAAGGACTATAAAAAATAAAAGGTGTGAGCCGGCAGGAGATCACATCCATAACGCAAGGCCAGTGTAGAGTGAAACGATTTTATTGCATGCGCCTGGGTGCAGGCGGGCTGAGCCCGAAAAGGGGTCAGCCTCGAATACAGTTAGGGTGTAGGTTATATACTCTACTTCTAGCTTCCAGCAGTTCTTGCTGATGTACTCAGCATGGCCCATTGTCCACTTTGCAGTTGGACTGGTCTGGTATCACATCCTGCATCTGCTGGGTGATCCATTGTCTTGCAGATAATCTGATAATCTATACTCAACAGAAGGCTGAGCAAGCAATGCATTTTTCACAGCTCTTGCCTTTACCCTTTAAAACGTTATTAACCCTTTCAAAAACAATTAATCCAAGATCCAACATCACTGGCTAGTTGGTGTGCCAGATTTCTCATAGTGTGTTTAATGTTGAGAAAGAATTACAGTAAATACATTTTATCACTAGTCGGTGGATAGGTCTGAAGAATAAATTAGCCATTGAAAATGAAGACCAGAATATGGTCATCTGATGTGAATAGTGTCAACTCTCACAGGGTATCACACATCTCAGGTATTGTGACAGAACTGGAAACTCATGAAATCCTCGTCAGATGTTCTGTTCGAGTAATGATACTTATTGCTGTTCTGTTTTGAACAGTAACAAAAACCATCATCAGGTAAGAAAATGTTTTTGTTCTTTTCAGGTGTGTTGAAGAGAATGGAATGGCTCTTGGAACTGATGGGTTATATCAGAAATATTACTTACCAGTCCACATCTGTTCGGAACGTGGCTCGTGATGAGGTACAATTTAGAGGAGTGTTTGTAGTTTTAAAATATAAAACTTTTGTTTGTTCTCCCCAAAGAGGAATATGTTGCTACTAGTAGCTTTCTTTTCCTCCTTCCTTTTATTTTTGGGAAACAGCAGTGATTGACAACTCTAATGTCACAGGAAATGGATGTTCTTACCAGGGTCTTGGAGACAGCTAGGGTTGCCCTTGAAAAAAGATCTCAGCAGAATACATTCCTTGACAGGCAGCACACAAAGGACACTAGCTGGAGGGAGAAGTCAGGGTCCTGTGTTCTTGGGCTTGATGTCACAAAGGAGATGCAGTTCAGGGCTCTGGCCTCCACACTGGCCCGAGAGGCTTCCCATGCCTGGTCTGCAAAGATGCCTGCAGTGTCTGCAAGCACTCTGTGTGCGCCCGTAGTTGTAGGCATGTGCGCGTATATTAGGAGTTTTCCGCGCACCTTCAAGATGACCTCTGACCTGAAAAAGGTTTACAGCCACTGGTACTGGGTAAGTTAAAAAGAAAAATATTAATAATAAATGAAATGATGACAGCACTTTCCTATCCTCCTCATGTTCTTTTCTGCCAACTGCAAATTTTAGGGGTAGAATTTTCTTCTATAGCATGTTTTGTTGACATGTTTCTGTTGTGAGTAAAAACATGCACAATCCGAATGTTGTTTGAAATTCTGCTCTACTTTTCTGCGGAGTTGTATGTGTTTTTAAAATTTGAGTAAGAGTGGGAATTTTAAAATATTAAAGAGTTCTTTTTGAACTTTTTTTAACTTGCATAATCTGTCCTCTTTTTCTTTGGATTTCCTAAGTTTTTATTAGCCTTCTGTTTTCTTACAAAAATCTTTTAAAACCTAGAAAATACAGATAAGCAGAAAAAAGTGTAATTGAGGTCACATCGCAGAGATAGCTCCTGTTACCACCATTTTTCTACAACTGTCCAGATTAGTCTAAAATCTAAAGGGATGGATTCTAGACAGATGTGTTAAAATGCATGAGGAGAGTCTCTTTTATTGTTCAAAAATAGAACAAGACTATAAATATTTTAAAAAATCAGTTTTAGCCTCATAACAATAAATCTAAATATCTCTCTCCATAGCACTCTTAATTATTTTTTAATCTTAGAAAACACCAAACCAGATGAGTATTTGCATCCCAGTATGATTAGGAATTAAATAATGTTTCTTCTGAAATGTTAGAGCAGTAATAATGAAACTAATGAGCCTTCTGTATTCACAAGAGAGGATCCCCCAAACCTACCAAAGCCCTAAAATATGTCTTTATTAAGTATGGAAACAGCGTTTGTTCTTCAGTCCAGTTCCTCTTCTGGGGTAGGGGCAGGGCTAGGACAGGAGGAGGGGGTGGGGGAAAGGGAATGTCACCTTGCATCATGATGGGGCTGTGTATGTGAACATGTGTTACTCTGAATTGTCAAAACCTGTGACCTAGCCTTGTTTCTATTGCCACTGCAGGCCTTGGACTTCTTGTTGCTGATATTCGCAACCGCGGTGGTTGCCTGGGCAGACCATGCTGCCCCTCTCCTTCTCGGTCTCAGTGCCAGTTGGTTGCCATGGCATCAAGAAAACCCAACTGGGCCTACATCAAGCTTCCTTGGCAGGAGTCCAGTGCACAGGGTCACTCTGCAGGAGGTTCTTACTCTCCTCCCCAGTAGCATGCTTCTGCTGCTGCAGAAAGAGCCATGGAAGGAACAGACCCAGAAGGTGAGGTGGTCAGCCACCTGCATTTCAGGGCAGGAGGCTATTTTCTCCTCAGCGATTTCTGCTGTAGATGTAGGAAGTACCTTCTGCGAGTTAAGTGAAACTTGAATCACAACACAGGCTTTCACGCTCAGCCCCCAACCTCAGCCAGATGCGGGGCCTCGGAGACTGAGGCTAACAGTGATAGCAGTAACCACCTGCTTGCAGTTGGGGGTGAGGTGGAAAGTAAAGCTTATACCTGTGTTCAGTTATCGAAGGCACATGTATTCTTGATCCTGGAGGTAAAATGATGAGAAAGCCTCTGAGAGCTCACAATCTCCAAGTGAAGGAGGCAAGTTCAAGATTGCAAGATGGTATGAAAAAGGAGGATAGAGTGGCGATGAGCTAGGGAGATAGATGCCCAACAGTGCCTGGTGGGGGCGGGCAGGCAACTCTGAGGAGAAGCCTGAGTCCTAGCGCCCACCTTGCAGCAAGGCTCATCCCCCTGCAGCCCTGTTCCAGGAGCCGCACGCCCCGGGCTTGTGCTGGTACTGTGAGATTTGTAAAGATCTAATGTGATCACGCTTGCCCTCAGGAAAATGCCAACTGTAGAAAGTTTGGTTTTTTATATTAAGATTCCCTGAGCAATCCACCATGTGCTGAGTGGATGAAAAGACTGTGCTTCCTGGAATTCTCATTATGTGGCTCTGGCCTGTCTTTATTTTAATACAGTTGTTTGGAAGATTCTTTCCTAAATCCTATTTCATCAAAATTGGATTTTTATGAGGTTGAAAGCTTAAAACTAATTTTATGTGGCTTATTCTTAAAACCTGACTACTAATATTTAAAAATATTTTTGAACTGTGGACCCACAGTTAAGCTACGCACAACTCCACTGAGCACCTCAATTCAAATGCCTCTGTTTTCTTAAACCTGATAAACATTAGTGGTATCCCCTCATTTCTGGTCTTCAACACCAGGTTCACTTTGAACCACAATGTAGACATCCTGCATCTATTATGTATTTGTAGTTCCTGACCTATTTACTTTACCAGTAGGATATTTTAAAACAAAATTGAGAAAAAGAGAAAAAAAACAAAACATTTAATTCAAGCAGGGAATTAGGAATATTTTCTTCTCTATTATACTCTTCCTTCAACCCAGCTTCTGTGTCCAAAGTTCAAATGAGTCAAGATTGCAACATTCAGAAATTGGTGAAATTGTCCTACATCTGATTCAAAAGCAGTTTGGGCTGCATCCTAGGAAATCAGTCACTCATGAGGACTCAGTTTCCACCTCGTTTGCAGGATTTATGTGCAGTTAGCACACTTGGCTCTACCTGGTAAATAGCTGTATGCCTTTTCTCTTGCATTTTAACATGCTGTTTTATATTCATTTGGGCATAAACCCTTCTTACCTACAGAAACATATTTTATTTTACGAACAGTGTTTTACATCCGATGTGTTTCCCGATTTATTGCCCAGCCTAGGAGCCTAGTACTGGGTGCACACAGACCCAGGGAGCAGGCAGCATGATGCAAAGAAAGAGTGTGAGGCATGGAAGCCAGGTGTACTTGGGTTCAAATCTTGACTCTGCTATTCAGTGAGAGTGGAAATGGGCAAGGTTCTTGACCAATTTGAACTTCGCAGAATAATGAGAGAGAATGTTCATGGCACACAGGAGGCCCTCAGGTCCCATGTGTACCTCCCTCTCAAAATCTGCCATGTCTCAGAGTATTCAGCAAGGGAAGGAGGTTTACTTCGTGGGTCATTTGACTAAATGGGAGCTGTGTCTGTCTTTAACATCTTGTGCCTGGTCACTTTCTCCAGAGATTTCCACAGTCAGTCAGGTATTACCTGGGGATTATTGCACTGATCCACATGTATGCAGGCCCAAAGGTCTGACTGACAGTGGCTTGTCTGGACTAATACTGTTCTTCATTTTCATTCTAGTTCATTGACTGGCTATTCAACCTCATGGAAAGCCCTAAAGAAGGCCTCTCTGTAAAATCCAGGGATCTTTTAAAAGGTATGACTTCTGTGTTTTATGCCCAATATAGGTGAAAACCTTCCAATGTTGTCTGTGCTGTAGAACAGTGTTCTAGCTGATATTGGTTCCTGAAAGGGCTCATCTTGGCTCAGTTTGAGAAGTAACCAGGAACTATTACCAGCGTAGCATTTTGAATTAGAAAGTAGATTAAAGAAGGTTTCAGTGCCTTTAAATTTAATTTTTATTTAAATTGCCTTTAAATGTTTTATTATAATTGTTAAATATGACTTTAATCAAAATTTAGAAAATCCTTTAAAAGAAAAAGAAAAGGCGAATCCAGAATCCCGTTGTCTAATGATAACTTTGATATTTTTCCTGATTAATGTGCCCCCTCTGTGTGTGTTGTTTTAACATATTCAAAGTAATAAATAATTGAAAAAATACATGTGGACACTTTGGACACTGCCTTTTTTATTTTAAAATTATTTTTAAAGCATTTAACCTGTTCTTACACTGGCTTCATCATAGTACTTTTAGTGACTGCCTAGTACTTTGCCAAGGGAATTGGGCATTTCACATGCTTCGAGGTATTCTGTGGTTTTGTGTGTTTTATAGTACTCCTCTATCGATTGGTTAAACTACGACTGTAGGATTAACAAACATAGAAGATCTTTCTGTGAAAATTATGTAGATTTTTTTTACTCAAATATGAGAAGTCTTTTAGGCATTGGCCCTGTGGGTGAGGGATGGGGGGTTTGTATTCTACCGGTGGCTGCGGTGGACACCCTGACATGCTGTAATATACTTCCCTGAAAAGTCTCACCCTGGAAAGGTTGCCTGTTGGCCTACTCTTTTTTTTTTTTTTTTTTTGATACGTGCCCCTAGCAGGAACCGAACCCAAGACTCTCTGGTCTGCAGGCCGACGCTCCAACCACTGAGCCAAACCAGCCAGGGCTGGCCTACTCTTTTGATAATCTATCTGGCCTCTCTCCAGCCTGGAGTCATAGTATGACCATAGTTTACTTCGAGTATGGTATAAGTTATTATTTGCCAAACAAGCAAGCATTTCCTAATTTATTGGTACTGATTCTTCTCCCTACTTACAAAGAGGATGGAGGGCATGTCTATGAAAATGATTCTGATCAATCACAGAACTTCATTGAGAATAAGAGCCGTGGCCTGAAATATTTCCACTGTATCCATCCCTAGAGATTTGTTGCTAGGATTTCCTCCATTCATTTGTTTTGGGGAATTTGGACTCATTTCTAATGGCCGTGGGTCCATGATACCGTTGGTTACTCCAAACATATACTGTATTAGGTTATGAAGAAGAACAATTGATAATGATGAGGAAAAGAGTTATTTCAGTCAAGAAAGTAAATGTTTAACTCAGTTATATATTTCAAGGGCTTATTAGAGACACACTCAATAATTGTGTAAGTCTAGGTTCACACTATTATATTTTAAATAACATCTCAATATATTTATATTAGTATTCTAAAATAATATATATAATAAGTTACCTCGAGGCATTACACAGAACTTCCCTATCTTTAAATTGATCCCTGAGGGACCCATGACAGATAAGAGAAGCTGTGGACTTGTGAGTACTTGTTCAAATATAGCTAAGCACAGTTATGCCTGCTCCTGAGCCCATGAACCTAACTTCATTACGGTTCAGTTAGTTTGTGGTTTTGAGGGGTTTTTCACCCTTGTAATTAAATGTTTAATGGAAAAATCACATTCATGTAGTAAAGTACTCAAGTCATAAGTAGATTTTTATAAAGGGAACACGCCTATATAATCAGCACCTTGATGAAGAAAAAGAATATTACCAGCATCCTTGAAGACAGCTTTTGTTATAATTCTGTAGAATTCCCCCTGAACTGTTTACAAAAAAATGAAAAAACTTTTCCCTAGGTTTTCTGCCATTAAAATTCTGCCTCAGGCTTGATGGGAATCCTGTCTTGAAGATAAGCCAAGTGAGAAAAAAGCCTAGTTCTGCCCTGATGTCCTTTTGATCTAAATGACCTTTGCAAATGCAGTCCCACAAATGCAACAATGTACTTTGTTTTTGTCCCTTTAGCCACCCTGCTGTCCTTACGAGTTCTCCCCGAGTTTAAGAAGAAAGCCGTATGGACCAGAGCGTATGGTTGGTGAATAGCTCTGCCTATCCAACTGCATCTCAGCCGGAATAGGAAAAGCACACCAGTGGAAGAAATGTTTCAGAATTTGTGTCTGGGATCACTGAGACACAATGCGGAGAGTTGAGGGTCATGACTGGGTGGCAGGTAACTGACATTCTGAACCATGAATGCCAGGAGAGGGGGTGCTGCCTCCGCACCCAGGCCTGCGAGACTGAAACGAGAACTTGAACTTTCTTTTATTTGGCCACAGTTCAATCTGAAGATCTTCTTTGTGAAATTTTGACTATATCATTTCCTCCCCCACAGAAGTCTAGTAAAATAATCTCATAAATTTTGTGTACGTGACTTTTATCTGTTTTCAGGCATAGGTAAGGTTTTGCTAGCCAAACCAAACTCTAGTGGTGATGGAGGCATTATGATCTATTTCCCATGAGGTCTCCAGAGGATATTCACTGACTCAGTAAGTTAGACATCTTTTCTTATCTTTTTGATGAAACACTCACTTGGAGTCGCTATACACATTTAAATAATAAGCATGGTGTGAAACCTGAGCAAAATCAGATTCATTAGTGGTGGCTATATATAATTTTCTTATGCTCTGGTCTCTTGAATGTAAGTGAAAGTTACCCAATTTAGAATGGCTTCAGCTAAAAAGAATATAATTCATTCACAAACCAAGAAGTTAAAGAGTAGATCTTATGAGGCCCAGTTGCTACAGTGAATCAAACAATGTTGCCAGGCTTTGTTCTCTTAGGATCACTCGACAGAGTTGTCGAGACGGCTGCCAACAACCTCAAAGGAAGGGACTCTTCAAAGGAAGAGGTCCTGGGAAGTGGGGTCCTAAGTCCACCCTAATTGGGGCTCCCCAGAAGAAAGTTTATGGGATACTAGGCAAGCAAAAACTGACAAATACCTCCTTGAAAGATTCATCTTTTTTATAAGTACAATTCCCTATCTTAATCAGGATGACTAGTGGCCTAATGACAAGTAAATGAAGGTATGTGACAATATCCTCCAGGGTTGAATTTTACTCAAAGGCTTGAGAATCAGCCAGCGTTTTAATGTTTTGATGTTTGCTAATTATCTTCCTTCATACAGTCATTAATCAGTCATTAATCAGGGTTTCAGCTAATCCTATAAGCGTACTGATGTATACATGTATGGGATCGCTGGGGAGAAATTTTTTGCCATTGGAATGATGTACGTTAGTGTCTATCATGTGATAGCACAGCACCTGCTACTTTATAAGCACATGGAACTTTCAGTATTCCCATGTGACGTTACCTTGATGTTGTCGCCAGGTGTACCTACCTACCACTGAGGCTAAAAATAGATCTACTAGTTTTGCTCTTCAAATAGCTGGGTTTATGTTTCCAGGTTTCAAATAGTTGTATTTCACTGTGTAACTCACTCTGTCCCAGGTCACAGTTCTTTCTTTTGCCGAACTCCACAGGGTGCTGAGATGCCTACAGAAAAAATGGGGAGGGAAGACGAGCTCTCGGGAGGTAGTTCCCCGCATTGCCAGTATTTCTCACAGTCTCCTCTAGAGGCTGGGCTACAGGGAAACGAATTTGAGGGACGCAGAAAGGTAGAAAATGTGCATGAGAAGCCAGAAGCCAGCTTCTCTCTTTTTCACTTACATGTACTTGCTTAACCTTCCTCCAGTGAGAGGTTGAAGTTTATCTATTTATTGTTAGATGCCAGACTGTTAGTGCTCTAGAGCTTTCACTGGTATTACCATATTTAACTCTTGCAACAACACTGTGAAGAGGCACTATTTTCTATTTTTAAATGGAGAAAACCCATCTGATGAGTGGGAGAGCGATGCCTCCAACCAAGCTCCTAGAACTCCAGACCCAGTGTCCTTTCTACTACCTCAGGCTCATCAACACTCACTTTCAGATGAAAACTCCCAAGGATTAAACCTTGGTTTTAATATGCTTATGGTTTAATGTGCTTTATTAAACCTATGGCTTAATATGCTTAATGTATATTTTTGTAATCAGATCGAAGGAATAATCCTGCCAAATGTCAACAAGTCTCTGGAACTGGTGTTTAGGAGCTACAGTGCAAAGGAGCAGGTCCTTCACGGACTGAAGGACTTTAGATTCCTGGACCAGGTTGCAAACACGGATAAAGAACAGAGAAGAGGAAGCGGGCACTGAAGAACTACTGTGCATTTTTCCCCGAGAGAGGGCTTACTGCCCGAGGAAAGGGTGAAGTATCAGCCCAGACTTCTAAACCCGACAGCCTTTTTTTGATTCAACCCAGTTTCTTCCCAAACTTTGTCTCTGCTCCTGCCCTTGCCAAGAAAACAGAAGAGTACAAAATGGAGTAAATTAACATAACCTCGATCTTCTCTTCCCTGGCTCCCTGTTTTTGTCTCCAGTCTTGAACATAAAATTTGTAGTATTTTCCTATTCACGGGAACCTCGAGTCTAAAACTGAAGATTCTAAATTTGAAACTCTAAACATTCTAAAGTGTCTACATTCTAAGACATAGGTCGCTGGAATAGCAACACCCCTTCACTTGCTTACCTGTATGACTTCAGGTAAGAATTAAATTATTCCCTTAGGATATTTCACTTTTTTCTCTGGAAACTAGAAGTCTCTGCTTTTTTTATGCCAGATGTTCCAAAGTATATAAAAAGGAAAGGTTTCCTTACAGGTCATTTTCTGTTAGTTTTTGAAATTGTTAAGTTGTCAAGACAAATAGCATGCTGGGATATACTAACAAATTAATGTGTAGGGTTAAAGCTATGGTGTCTCAGAAATATCCAAACACCCTGGTTCTTGATTTGAAAAGTGTACATTTGGAACAGATGCTGGGATTCATGTAAGTGCCTACAATCTTTGTAATTTTTAAATCTGTATTGTTGAGAGTATTATAGATGTCGCCCTCCACCCAGTTCCCACCCCACCCCAGGCCTTCATCATACTATTATCTGTGTCCATGGATTATGCATATATACATACAAGTTCTTTGGTTAATCTCTGCCTGCCCCTCTCTCTCCCCTTCCCTCTGAGATCCGTCAGTCTGTTCCTGCTTCCATGCCTCATTTGTTTTTGTTCATTATGTTCCACACATAACTGAGATCCTGTGGTACTTGTCTCTCTCTGACTGGCTTATTTCCCTCAGCATAATATTCTCCAGGTCCCTCCATGTCGTCTCAAAGGGTAAGAGATCTTTCTTACAGCTGCATATTATTCCATTGTGTAAATGTACCACAGTTTTTTATCCACTCATTTAGTGGTGAGCACTGGGCTATTTCCATTGTGTTTTATTTGTAATGTAATGGCTTCATGGTAACTGACAGGAATTAATTGTCAGAGTTAACTTCTCTCAATGATTTTAACCAAAGGTATTGATATTTAATTATATAAGGAATTAAGACTCAGCTATTATTTTGAAATAACTTAGTCACTTTGTAAGTAAGCGGTAGTTTTAGATTTTTGGTAAATTAGTAATTTGCTATTATGGAAGAGAAATCAGATCATTTAGTTAAGAGGATGGGGCCTTCCTTAAAGTCAGAGATACAAGCTACATCTCTGGTCAGTTTGTATCTCTGACCCAAACCAGCCTATTCTTAGCTTCAGGCATTTCACATGGAACCCGGGACAGAATATGGCTGGTACAATTCACATCCCTCATCACCCTTGTGGAAAAACATGCCGCAGCATCATCTTCAGGTACAAATGTGTATCATCATTGCTCTGGTTTAAGACAAGGTAATATGCTTTTATATTTTCTGGAATGAAATAGTTTATTCTGAATCTGGAAATTCTAAAGTTTCTTTTAAAATGTATGATACATAATATAGTTAGTAAGTGCTTAAGTTGGCATATAATCGATTAATCTTCACAAACAGTACAAAATGTTTTTAAATTGCAATTTAGAAAGATTATTCTATTCTTGTCAAACATAGGGAACTTGTGAAGTAATATCCAGCTGAATTATTGAATATGAAACAACAAAGATGACAGTGCTTTTATTTCCTGGGTAAAAGGAATAACCTACCTCACGAAGTAGTTGTGAGGGTTAAAAGAACACAAAAATATGCTTTAGAAATACTAAAATGTAATAGAAATACTGCCACTTTTACATGTTTCACTGAAAATAAATAGTACCTGTAATGCTTGAATACAGGCACAATGTGTACATTAGGACTTGGTAAGATCGTGCAGTTATTAACAAAGTGTTCTCATTAACAATGAAAATAGAAGCAAGTAGTAGCACATGAAGAAACGGTACTTACAGAAGTTTCAAAAAGCTCTATCAGGCTTCTGAACATGAAGTACTCCAAAATTAATCAGATACAATTGAAACATCACCTAATTAATCTGATAGATTTCTTAGAATGTGTTTTTCTGGATGTGCTAGATGTAATCTGTAAAGTCAGAGTTGCAAACGAGTTATGAGTGTCCCCTGTGTGCCAGCATCCAGAGTTCTGGAGCACAAAGTGTGCAACACGTGACATTCCTGTCCTCGTGAAGCTTATGTTCAGAAAATACAAATCAGTGAACCATCAGGTAATAAAGAAAAGCATCCAGGAACCAACTTATAAATTGTTACTCCTGTATAGCCCTTTATCACTCACAGAGGTTCAATTTACCATACTTCATTTGCTCTTCATGACCACCTTGGGCTGTTAGGGAAACTGAACTGGGGGAGTCGCTCAGAAAGTCAACATTGGAGCAAGATTTCAAATCAAAGCCTGTGTTCTACCTCCGCACTGCATTCCCTCTCTTAGGACCCCATGGCTGAGCTGCACACCTCGAAGTAAGTACACAGTGGACACCTTCATGTATCTCATGAAGTAAGGGATATTTTTACAAATTGATTTTCATATAGAACTGACTAACCTTTGTTAAAACAAGATTTAAAAGGCCAGCAGGTACCCTTAGCAAAGATAGATTAATTATAGTTAAAAAGTCCTACTTAGTATGTTTAAAAACTAAATTAGCATAAGAAAAAGCAAATGTCATCATCTCAGTTCTAAAATCAGAACTACATTGTATGTTGGCTTTTATTTCAATAGTTCTTATTAGCAATTTTCCACCCAAAGCTGAAGTACATTAGACTCAAAAGCCATGGTTCTCAAACCACAATGTGCGTGAGGCTCATTCGAAGGGCCTGTCAAAATGCAGGTTCCTGGGCCCACTGCCAAAGCCTCTGATTCAGATCTTTTGGGGAAGCCAGGAATCTGCATTCTAAACAGACACTCTTGTTAATTCAGTGACCACTGCTCCCTGGAATTACTTTGAATAAATGACCAAGAGAAAAGTGCCAAATCAAAGTTAGGGTGTCACTTAGATCAAGAGGAGGAAAGTAAACAATATGGGAACACAGAAAAACAAAATAATGTTTCAAAGTGAAAATAAGTGAGAGGAAGATGTTGGGAAAAAGGAAGATATTTTTTACTTAAATCACTTTGATACTTTAGCACAATGAAATAAAATGTAACTGTGTTGTCTTTGTGTAAGTTTCTCCAGAGAAACATTTAGATATGGATGTTAAAGTTACTTCACTTTGGAGGAAACAGATTCTTATATGTAACAATTTGCTAAACATAGGCAGAGTAAGGTATAGTAAAAAAAAAAGCCCTGGCCGTTTTGGCTCAGTGGTTGGAGTGTCAGCCTGTGGCCAGAGAGTCCCGGGTTCAGTTCCGCTATGGGCACGTACCAAAAAGAAAAAAAGTTAACTCTCTTAAGGACTTCAATGAGATGTGGTATATTCTTGAATAACAAACTTTTTTGCAGGAAGCCTGATAAAGGTTTTAACATGTTAACCTGTGACTGGCACATTGTGGCACAAAATAATGTTTCTTGAGTGAACATGGGCATGTGTATGTAGCTGACTCAGATCAACTCATTCTACTGAGGTTAACCTGTATATTCAATCAAAAGCTAAGACCAGGATAAGAGTGTTTCTTGGAAAGCATACCACAGTAAAATAAAATGCATCTAACTGAATGAATATGTTTGGAAGAGTATTTGTTGTTGCTTTGTATTCAACTACTTTGATAAAGGAAAAGCTCAGGACTCTGCTATTATCTGTGCATGTTTGTGTGTATTTGTGTGTTTCATTTGTATATTTTAGTAGACTTTCGCTGAGTGATGAAGTAATTTCTCCACAGTGTTTTGATTTGGTACAGCTTTGTATTTTATTTTATTTTATTTTATTTATTTGGCACCTGAGACACTGCTTCTGTGATAACTGTTCCTCTGCTTGGTTACTTGGAACATCACGTAATTCACCTTCACATTTGAAACTCCAAAGAAAGATCATTTAAAAGTTCTATCTTATGCTTTCAAAGTATCTATCTTATATTAGATTTGAGAAAGTAAGTCTTTCACCACAGTGAACAAAACAAAATGGAGGTTTGATGGACACAGAATTAAAAAAGATAGCCAAAGAAATAAACTTTGCAATCTTGGTAACATCCAATTAACTAGATGGTTACTCTCTTGGTTTCTTAACCTGAGGAACATGAACTTGAGTGGGAGAAGAAAGTACATTCTCATTTTCACTAATCTCTAATGAAATTTATTATTTCAATTTTAATATAAGCAGCCAGCCACAATAATACTAACAATTGTGACTGTGTCACCATAGGAAATCACAGATCTTTTTGTTACGATTGTCGCACATACCTCATTATTGTCTATCCTCTTCTCTATTTCAAAATTACCATAATTATAAATTTACTTGTGTTTCTTTTTGGTCTTCTATGTTAAGAAGTAGGAAGGCTCTTCAGGTAATTTACTTTAAAAAAATTAAAGTGTTATTTAGTAATGAAATTTTAATTTCTTGTCATGACCTAATAAAGTATAGTTTCTCTAGTTCTTTATCTTCACTTTAGTGATCCTACATGTATATTTCAGCAATGTATGTAGCCAACTTTATTGGGAGGAAGCTAGACTAACTCACCTCCAGTTGGTCTGTTCTCTTTGTGCACTAAAGCTTTCGGTGATTTTTTAAATTTAGAAGTGAAATAAGCAACTTTAAAAGCAAAATAAAATGTAGTTTTTTTAAAGGGTAATCTTAATACTTATTTTAAAATTCTAAATATGACATTACATTTATAAAGATATCAATTATTTTTATTAATGCTCAATTAGTTCTTTCAAATTGTTTTATTTAGTGGTGTAAGATTTTTTTATAAATATTTTTTAATCTTTATTGTTGAGAGTATTACAGATGCCCTCTATTTTCTTCCCCATTGTCTGTGTCTATGGACAATGCATATAAGTTCTTTGGTTAATCTATTTTTGTGTAATTACACTTTTACTACCTGGTTTTTATGTAACAAAATATTTAGTATTCTTTTTACATAGTTGCTGGATACTAAGACTAAATAATTCTTTCAAGAAAAGTCAATGATGCACCACTGGTTCAGAAATGATTCCATTAGTTATTCACATATTTTAAATCTTAAAAAAAAAGGATCAGTTTTCAAAACTGTAAGTCATGACATATATGTTACAATAAATTAGCAACAGTATTTCAGTAATAAATGAGCTGAAATGTGACTGGTTCTTAATGTTCTTACCTTCTTTAAATGATTTACTATATTTTTATACCTTTTATCTCCCTGTAAGGTATATATATGGCCTGATTTTTTTTTAAAAGGAATATGGGTATTTATCAAAGGTCTTATTCTGTTTTCATCAATGTCCTCTTTTACAGCATTAAAGCCCAAATAACTTGTGTAATATTACTGATGCTCTTTCAGGGTTGGGAAAATTTTCGCTTTCTAAGTGTGTCTGACATTTAACGTGAGTGTCACCTGTGGGAATGGTGGCATCTGGCTATGAAATGTTACTCTAGACAACTACAGAGCACGTTTCGTATCGCTCCCTCCTACGGATCTGCTGCTGTTCGGAAATTCAGAAGTTAAAAGAAATAGATGTAATTTAGGGTTAATAACTTTGGTTTCTTGATTTTATTGAATCTATTTCACATTACCCTTACAGGAAAATAATCAGGCTTCATACAATACAAAGTTAATATGTATAAATCCACAGCTTTGGAGAAACCGGTTATTCAGAGTATATGTTTTGAAAATGTAATGGGTCAGAGTCACGGACTGCAATTATTTCTTTCATGGATTTTTATCAAACACTAGGTAATTTTCCACCAGAACGCTTCCTGAGTTGTGTTTACCACAGCAGAATCCACAGCCTGTTTTTTCCTACGTCACATCAGACTGCTGTGCCTCACATTTTCTTCTTTTTAAAGGAAAACACTCTGAGGACATCTCTTCTTTCTGAGTAAAGATGACTGTAGATAAAATACATGCCTATTGTGAAGAAGGAAATGGTGAAAGGAAGACTGAGTAACCATTTTTTGGAAAGAACCGTAGTTTTACAATACAGTTCGAGTGTGCCTCGAGTCCAGGGATGAGACTCTTGCCGTGGAGACACACAGAAGCAGTGCTCAAGAAGTGCCCAGCGTCTCTGCAGAAGGGAAGCTAAGCATCTCACTACTGCGTTCACTTCAAGGAATTCATTTTTCCCTTTAAGGTAGCTCTGTTTCTCCCTAGTGCTTCACATTTGTCTTCTTTTATATGTTGTTCTTCTATATTTGGAAGTTGTTACCTTCTAGAGGTAATCACTATCTTGGGGATTTGTGATGGTTAGGAAGCTAAACTTTAATAATGGAAGTTTTTTTTTGTTTTTTTTTCCTAGAAGAAAATTAATTGATCAAAATTTTCAACTGTAAGTTTCTGTTACATACATTTTTCCTGCCTGCTAGGAAATGTTAGCACATAAGGCCAAATAAACAGAAAACTAAATAGATATAAATGGGAAAATCAGAAATAGACAAGGCTGCTTATTTTGACATCTAGGTTTATTTTTTGTAGATACGTGTATCTATGGTCAAAACTTCTATATTTAATACATAATGGAGTTAGTTTCTCCTAGTAAAACTGTTCTGGTTCATCTCTTACTTGATCTTGAAAAAGTATTATAATTTCTAGGTGCTTTACTAACATGATCCAATTCATTGTATCAGGCTACCTCTTCCCATGTTTATAGACCTTTCTGTTAAGGTCGATGGCAGCAAACACAGAAAAGCCACTTACCTATAAAGAGCATCATGAGATATATTTTCAGCACATATGGGAAATAGATGGATAAGTCGAAGGGAAGCTTTGTGGAGTAAGTGCCAAATGATTCAAAATAAGGCAGTGACTGATAGATGGCAAATGCTGTTTAAAAGAAAAAAGAAGGAATCACAGAGGTTTCTCTGCTTAACTTTCTATGGGGATATATATATATCCCCCCACACATACACAGTGGTAGGATGTTCTGTGACAATTGCCGAATACTTTAGGTAAAGCTACAGTTTGATATAGTAATCTGAATGATCCAACTGGCAAGGCCATTATAGCAGTGTGACTGTTGAATTTTTGTACATCTTATACTTTATTCTGCCTACAGAGAAGTAGTTTACAATGTTTCTTCAAATGGTACCTCAAAATACCTTAGCCACATATTGGTGGGTGATAGAAATTTAGAAATTGCTGCATATATTTTCCTCTTGGAGTTTCACAGTACACATTAATATAGTAGAGATTCTGAAAAGTTCTGCAATAAAATAACTGGTTTCGGAAGCAGGTCCAAGGTGGCCTCATAGGAGGACACTGAGCTCATCCCCTCCCAAGAACACTTAGAACAATTCCTCCTGAGGGCTAATTGTACAGTTTCTGGACAACAATTTAAAAATAGGCAGAAGAAATGTATAGACAGTGTTCCCAAGAGAACATACAGATGGCCAACCGACATGAAAAGATGGTCAACATCACTAACCGTAACAGAAATATAAGTGAAAACCACAATGAGCTACATATCACCCCACACCTATCAGAGTGGTTATTATCAAATCCACAAACAAGTGTTGGCAAGGATGTGGGGGGAAATGGAACCCCAGTGCACTGTTGGTGGGACTACAAATTAGTGCAGCTGCTATGGGAAAAAGCAGGGAGGCTCCTCAAAAAAATTAAAAATAGACTCAATGACCCCGCAATTACACTTTCTGGTGTTATCCAAAGAAATCCAAAATGCTAATTCAAAAAGATATATTCACCCTTATATTTATTGCAGCATTATTTACAATAGCCAAGATGTAAGCAACCTAGGCATCCATCAATAGACAAATGAAAAAAGATTTTGTACATATATACAATGGAATATTACTCAGCCACAAAAAAGAATGAAATCTTGCCATTTGCAACAACATGAATGGACCTAGAGGGTGTTATGCTAAGTACTATAAGTCAGAAAAAGAGAAATGCTGTATGACTTCACTCACAGGTGGAATCAAAAAACAAAATGAAAAAGAAAAAAACTCATATATACAGAACAAACTGATGTTTGCCAGATGAGAGGGAATTTGGGGTGATTGGTGAAAGGAATTAAGAAGTATTAATTGCCAGTTTTAAAAATAGTCATGAGGATGTGATGTACATACAGTACAGGAAAAATAGACAATATTATAATAACTATGTTGTCAGATAGATACTAGAACTATTGTGGCGATCACTACATAAGGTATATAAGTGTCTAATCACTATGTTGTACACCTGAAACTAATATATGTCAACTATAATTGAAAAAAAAAAATTTAATGTATTACATAATCAGACCAATTTTGATCAGTTTGTCTAGCACAAAATGGAGACGAAAGTTAATGGGTGAAGTCTGAATAAATAATATGCTGAACTGGGAGTACTGGATTTTTCTCTAGTTTCCAGGTAAAAATCAATTACACATGTCAAGCCTTGATTGGCCTTTTTGTTTCTTATCCTAACCTAAGGCTATTTTTCTATTTATCTTCAGATAGAGTGGTAGGGAGGGAGGAAGAGGAAGAGAGAGAGAGAGAAACATCAATGTGAGAGAGATACATCAATTGGTTGCCGCCTGCATGACCCCAACCCAGGCCAGGATGAACTGCAACCCAGGTATGTGCCCTTGGTCAGAATTGAACCCGTGCCTCTTTGGTCTGCAGGCTGACGCTCTTAACTGCTAAGCCAAACTGGTCAGAGCCTTGATAGGCCTTTTAAAATATGTTTTTATTGATTTTTCTTTTTTAGAGAGAGAGAGATAGAAACATCAATGTGAGTTACATCGATCGGCTGCCTCCTGCACGCCCCCCACTGAGGATCAAGTCTGAAACCTGGGCATGTGCCCTGACTGGGACTCGAACTGGGACCTCTCAGTCCATGGGATGACACTCAATCCACTGAGCCACACCAGCTGGGTGATAGGCCTTTTTAAATACTGCTTCCCACTTTCCATATTTAAAGTGATGCAAATAACATATGCCACATCTTTCCACAGATAAGGAGACAGTAAAAACTTTAAATTTCTTTTCAAGTAGAAACTTTAATCTAACATAATCTAATCATCAATCAAATAACTGCACAATTAAACAAGTCAGGGAAAAGAGGTTTAGGCATTCACCAAGGTCATGTATTGCTAAGTATGTCTACATGACCTAATGATGACTGAATGGCTCTTCTTAGCTTGAAATTCAGCTGTTCAAAATTTATTTCTATTGTATAAAATTACATCCTCACAAATATTCTATTTGGATTAAGAGTTTGTCTTAAGATACTAAGAATTTCACTTGGTTAAAGAAAGGAAAACTATATAACCAAAGCTAATTGTGTAATCTACTTTTTGAGATGAAATGTGGGATTAAAACTGGAATAAAATCTAACTATAATAGCAATGTTGGATCAGAAGCTGAGATGTAGTAATAACCAGGATGAAAGTTAAAAATGGTTTGAGCCCTGGCCCATTTGGCTCAGCGGTTAGAGTGTCGGCCTGCGGTCCAGAGAGACCCGGGTTTGGTTCCTGCTAAGGGCGCGTACCTCGGTTGCAGTTTGTCCCCGGCCCTGGTTGGTTGTGCGGGTGGCAGCCACTCGATGTGTCCCTTTCACGTCGATGTTTCTCTCTCTCTCTCTCTCTCTCTCTCTCCCTCCCTCCCACCCACTCTATCTGAACAAAAAATGGAAAAATGTCCTCGGTTGAGGATAAATAAATAAATAAATAAATAATAAATAAATAAAATGGTTTGGGAGAAACCTATTCCCACCTAGAGATCATAGACACCATTCAGGAAAACCTTGGTACAGGGCAGGGGAAGGGGAAGGGCACCAAACTGGAAGCTAGGAGGAATGCCAAAGACATAGGAGACAAAATTCTTCCTCTCAAAGAGTTTACCACCTATCTGAGAACAAAAGATACTCATGTGAAATGACCAAAGACATCTGTGCAGAGTGGAGGTGAGATGGGGAGAGGAAAGAGATAAGGAAGAGACAATCGGTGACTTCTGGGTACCAGTACTCAAAAAAATGAAATTTTGGCATCTGAGACAGCATGGATGGACCTAGAGAGTAACAAGGCAGGCAAAACAAATACTGTATGATTTCACTTATATGTGAAATCTAAAAACAGAAACAATCTCATAGATACAGAGAACAGCAGATGGTTGCCAGAGGTGTGGGGGCTGGGTGAAAAGGGGGAAGGGAGTTAGGAAGTACAAACTTGCAGTTATAAAATAAGTAACAGGATGTAATGCAGCATAGGAATACAGTCAATAACACTGTAAGAACTACGAAAGTGACAATGCAGCGATCACTTTGTAAGGTATATAAATGCTGAATGACTGTGTTGTATACCTGAAATTAATATTGCATGTCAACTATAATTTAAAATACTTCTTTTTAATTAGGGAAAAATCACTAAATGTTAAACCCCTTTGGATGAGTAAACAGACTTAGGTTAAATGATTTAACCAAAACGCATACAGTGAGTTAATGAAGCTAAGGGCTTAGACACATGTCCTTATTCCCCTCGTCCTATATTCTGTCTACTGTGCACAGCTGCTTCCCTCTCCAACTGTGGCTCTTCATGCTTTGCTTCTTGCATCAAGGGAAGTATGCCAGGAAACAGACACTGAGTCAGCTAAGCAGTGCCAAAAACAGTCATTTAATCATCAAAATATTTAGTGAACCATTATAACTAGATAGCAATTGTCAGTAAGCAATAGATAAGTCACTCTTTTCTTACCTTCAGCAAGAACACACAAAGGATAGATCGGCATCCACAGAGTTTGATTGAGCCATATCAGGACATCGTAAGATATTCCTATGACTGATAACATGCTGTTAGTGTACCTGAAAGGAGACAAGGAACTCATAAGCATCATTTGCTGCGGATGTCTGGGAAATAAAAGAATAAAATGTTTTATTATGTAATTAAATACACAGATAAAACTGGAATGAGTGCAGATTCCATACATTAGTTCCTATAATTTAGGCGGGAGAGGAAACCCATATTAATCTGGCTTGTCTCATGAAGTGGCCCGCAGACAACCATCTCCTTGATTAGTGATTCACTTTCACTCAGAAGCCACGCCCATTTTAGGCAACTAGCAACTAGGGTTGTTGTTGTTGTTGTTTTTATAACAAACAAAGCTTGTAAATACTAAGGAATGAATTTTAAAAATAAAAATACGATTTCCAAATCCTTATTGGCATTCCTCTGCTTACATAGTTTTGCCATCTTATGTGATCAATTAAAGAACTGTCCTGAGATACTTGTGTGGGTTACAGTAGGTAGTTTAAAACCTGCTTTTATGAGATCATAGGTGAAACAGTCTGCATCTTTTTATTTCTCTGTTCTTTGAAGAGGCCAGTGGTTCTCAAGTTTAAGCAAACATCAGAATCACCCAGAGGGCTTTCTAAGGCAAGCTTGCCATGTCCCATCCCCAAAGTGTCTGACTCAGTGGGTTCAAGGGAGAGCCTGAAAATTTGTATTATGAACAAATTCCAGGTGATGTTGAGGCCATTGGTCCAGAGGCCACACTTTGAGAACTACTAGAATAGGCAGTGAATACATATGGCCAAACAAAATCCAAAACTTTGAAAACAATGGTGAAAAGTAAATCTTTTTCTCTTCCCAGGACCCTAATTTCACTCCTCAAAGGCAATGACCAATGCCAATTTCTTATATAGTCTTTCAGAAATATTTTTGCATATGCTTATTTATGTGTATATATTATATATACGATATACCAACATTGCAAGCCCTACAAGCCATATTATCAAACTTTTTTATCTGTACCAATCTAAGTGAAAAACAGGATCTCACTATCTTTTTACTATTATTATTTTTATTATTATTAGAGTAGGTATGTTTAAAAGCCACTTTGAAGTCCAATGTATCTTATTTTCTTTTGTTGCTTATGATTTTGGTGTCATATCTAAGAATCCATTACCAAATCCAAGATCACAAAGATATATCCCTATGTTTTCTAAGTGTTTTTTATAGTTTTAGCTCATACATTTAGTTTTTTGGTCTATTTTGAGTTAATTTTTGTATGTGGTATGAGGTAAGGATCCAACTTCATTCTTTTGCATGTGAATATCCAATTGTCCCAACACCTTGTTAAAAAGACGATTGAATGGTCTTGGCACCCTTGTCAAAAAGCAACTGACCATATATATGAGAGTTATCTCTGGACTATCCATTCCGTTCCATGATATATCCTATGCCAGTATCACAGTCTTGATTATTGTTGCCTTGTAGTATATTTTAAAATTGGGAGGTGTGAGTCTTTCAACTATGTTTGTTTTCAACATTGTTTTGGCTATGTTGGGTTTCTATGAGGTGTTGGACCAGTTTCTCAATTTCTGTAAAGAAGCCAGCTGGGAGTCTGATAGAGATTGCACTGAATCTGTAGATCAACTGGGGGAATCTTGCTGTCTCACAATATTGAGTCTTCAACCCATAATCAAGGGATATCTTCTCATTTATTTTTATCTTAATTTCTCTCAACACTGTTTTATAGTTTGGGGTATATAAGTTCTGTACATCTTTGGTTAATTTACCCCTACTTTATTTTTTTTATTTTTTATTTTTTTATCCTCACCCGAGGATACTTTTTCCATTTTTTTTTTTTTTTTTTTTGTACAGATAGAGTGGGAGGGAGAGAGAGGAAGGGAGAGAGAGAGAGAAACATCGATGTGAAGGGACACATCGAGTGGCTGCCACCCGCGCGACCAACCAGGGCCGGGGACAAACTGCAACCGAAGTACGTGCCCTTAGCGGGAACCGAACCCGGGTCTCTCAGGACCGCAGGCCGACGCTCTAACCGCTGAGCCAAACTGGCCAGGGCTATTTTTTGATGCTATTATAAATAGAATTATTCTACTCTAGATCACTACAAGTGTATAGAATAAAATTGGTTTTTGTATATTGATTTTGTATTCTATAAACCTGCTGAACTAATTTTAATATTTTTAGTGGATTCCTTCTTTTTTAAAATATATATATATATAAGAAAAATCATATCATCTGCCAATAAAGACAGTGTCTCTCCTTTCTTTCCAATATGGACACCTTTTACATCATTTTCTTGCCTATTTGTCATGGCTACAACAATGGTGAATAGGAGTGGCTACAGAAGACATTCTTTTCTTATTCTTAATCTTGGGAGGAAGGCACCAGTCTTTCATCATTAACCATCATATTAACTATGATTTTTTTGTAGATGTCTTTATCAGAGAAAGTTCCCTAGTCTTGCTTTTTAAAAAGTCATTCTAGGGTAAGTTGGGAAGATAATTGTACCCCCATTTTATAGAAGAAAAAAATGACTTTTAAAAAGGTTAGAAACTCTGGAATTTTACTCCTACCTAAAAAAGCAATGAAGCCTGACCAGTGTGGCTCAGTGGTTGAGCATCAACCCATGCCAGCTCGAATCCCCGTCAGGGCACATGCCCAGGTTGCCGGCCAATCCTCAATGGGGGGCGTGCAGGAGGCAGCCAATCAATGTTCTCTTTCATCGATGTTTCTATATCTCTCTCCCTCTCCTTTCCTCTCTTTAAAATCATAAAGAAAAAAAATGTTTTTAAAGAAATGAAAATATGTGCACACAAAGGCTTGCACATGGATAGTCATAACAGTATTCCCCCTCATGACCAAAAAGTAGAAACAACTCAAATGGATAAAGTGTGGTATATCAATATAAGGGAATATTATTCGACCATAAAAAGAAATGAAGTACTGATAGACGTTACAACATGGATGAACCTTGAAAACATTATGCTAAGTGAAAGAAGCCCAACACAAAAGGTCACATATCGTATGACTCTATTTATCTGAAATGTCCAGCACAGGCAAATCCGTAGAGACAGCACTTAGCGGCTGCCAGGAGCTGAAAGAGGGAGGGAATGGGAGTGACTGCTAATGGGTTTGAGGTTTCTTCTGGGGGTGATATGTTCTCAAATCAGACAGTAGCAATGGTTGCACACATTGTTGAATACATTAAAAACCAAAGTTTGGTTTTAAAGGGGTGGATGTTAAGGTACATGAATGATCTCAATGCTGTTATTTAAAAAATAAAAGTGACTTGCCTAAAATCATATAGCAAGTAATAGTGGAGGTGGGGTTCATCCTGAGATCTTATCCTTTTATGTCCAAAAGTTTTTCCATGACAGCATGATGCCACTCTCAGTGCACAAGTAACTTCATTCTATAATGGGTGTACTGAGCTTATCAGAGCCTGAACTGACTCAGAATCAGGCATACCAAAGAATGATACATTAGAAAGCCCAGAGGCTGTCTCATAAACAGGAAGTCATGGGCAAAAGTCCATGAAGTTTGTCCCAAGTCTGCAAAATTACCAGTTAAAAATGAGAAATAATATACTAAGTTCTATATACAAAAATGTATAGTTATTTTAATTCAATAAAATATCTTATTCTAGTTTACTCTAGGGCTCAACCCATTGTTTAGAAATATTTTAACTCAGTTAGATTACTGACAATAAAATAAAAAATTTACATTACCTCAGCTAATTTGTTACCTGTCCACATCAAGATCTTTCAAGCAGGAGGAGCAGTTAGGACATCTCCTCAGACAGCCTCTTTAATAAATGGTGTTGGGTAAATTGGACAGCTACATGCAAAAAAATTAAACTAGACCAACAACTTACACCATACACAAGAATAAACTCAAAATGGATAAAAGACTTAAATGTGACTCGTGAATCCATAAAAATCCTAAAAGAAAATGTAGGCAACAAAATTTCAGACATCACACATAGCACAATTTTCACTGATAAAATGCCTAAGGCAAGAGAAACAAAGGAAAAATTAATACATGGGACTACATCAAACTAAAAAGTTTCTGCACAGCAAAAGAAACAACCATCAAAAATGGAAAGGGAACCTACTGTATGGGAGAGCATAATTGCCAACAATATATCAGATAAGGGGTTAATTTCCAAAATATATAGAGTACTCATACAACTCAACAAAAGGAAAACAAAGAACCCAATTAAAAAATGGGCAAAAGAGCTAAATAGACACCTCTCCAAACAGGACATACAAATGGCCAAGAGACATATGAAGAAATGCTTAATGTCACTAATCATCAGAGAGATGCAAATTAGAACAACAATGAGGTATCACCTCACACCTGTCAAAATGGCCGCCATCAACAAATCATCAAACAACAAGTGCTGGCGAGGGTGTGGAGAAAAGGGGACTCTAGTACACTGCTGGTGGGAATGCACACTGGTGCAGCCACTATGGAAAACACTATGGTGTTTCCTCAAAAAATTAAAAATTGAACTTCCATTTGACCCAGTGATCCCACTTCTAGAAATATATCTTAAGAAGCCTAAAACACAAATCAGAAAGAATATATGTACCCCTATATTCATAGCAGTACTATTTACAATTGCTAAGATCTGGAAACAGCCCAAGTGTCTAATCAATAGATGAGTAGATAAAAAAGCATGGTGCATATACACAATGGAACATTATGCAGCTGTAAGAAAGAGAGATCTCTTACCCTTTGAGATGACATGGAGGGACCTGGAGAGCATTATGCTAAGCAAAATAAGCCAATCAGAGAAATATAAATACCACACAATCTCACTTATTTGTGGAATATAATGAACAAAACAAGCTGATGAACAAAATAGGCCCAGAGACATAGAAAGGAGTACGGTTCAGACTGACAAAACTCAGAGGAGGGGGACAGGGGGAATGGATGAGATGAACCAAAGAACTTATATGCATGTGTGCGTAACCAATGGACATAGACAACAATGCGGGGGTGGGGGGAAGGTGGAATTGGGAGGAGGGTGTCTAGAGGGGAAAAAGGAGAAACATCTGTAACAAAAATAAATTAATAAAAATTGCAACAACAACAAAAAAGCCACTGAGCAAAGCGGATTGTTTATCCCATCACTGCTAGAGATAAGACTAGGCTCATCTCCTTGCAAGGTTTTAGAATTAGAAGGAAGCTGAAGACGATCTAGAGTAAGAAGGTTCTTAATCTGAGGCCCAAGGATTCCCAGGGAGTCCACCAAAGAACTTCAGTCATTGAACCCACTGGAACTGCATACAAAAATGCATGTGGAGGTGCATTTTTCCTCAGGGAGATGAGGGTCCTATATTGAAAATATTCTTGAATTCACAGAAACCAACTCTGTAAGTTCTGACTATGATATGATAAAAGTCTGGCTTTGCTTATTAGAGTAACAAATACCAGAGCAATTGCAAGGAATGCCTTTCCTTAGCAAACAGCTGTGGGTTTATTCCAAACTGGTGTCAGGCCAAGTCTTCTGCTAGATACCTGCACTGATTTGCTCTTGTAAATACCACAGGTTTTAATATCTTTGATATGCCCATTACAGAAGGCACTAAAATACATTTCCATATTAAGATAAAATAATTTAAAAAGGGGTTATGTTTTCTCTCTCATTCCGAGTAACCAAACCTATTACTGCTTTTACTGCAGAAAGCAATTTGGCTTTGTTTTAAGAGATCATTTTGCCTCCTTACCTAACCATATCCAATAGATTCCAGAAGATGAATAAAACACACACCACATACTTCTCTTGGACTTCCTCTTGACTGGTGATCACCACAAACAGGATAATTATTCTCTCTGTAAGCTAACAAAAACAAAACAAACAAAAAACCAGCAAAATCAAGAATTAGGATCATCTGTTAGGCATGTAAGTAATTTTCCAATGTAAAAAACCAGAGTTCCTCTTAAAAGTATGCTTTAACTAGAAATATGTATCCTAAACTGTCAGCGTGATCTCTGAAGGAGTAGGGTTATGGCTGAATCTCATTTCCTCCTTTTTTATTTCTGTATTCTCCAAATCATACATAATAAATAAAAAGATAATGTATTTTATCTGAATCAGGACATTTCCCTTCTTGTAATACATGCCCATATGTTTTTATTCACTTTGGCAAGCTTTTATTGCGTGTCTGCTACGTATCAGATGTTAAGATTATGAAAGCATGGTCCTTGCTCCAGACGGCGGCGGCAGCGAGAGAATGTTCGGCAGTAACTAGAACACAGTGCGAACAACTGTGTCACTCAAACTGCTCTGTCCAGGTGCACAGGTGAGGAAGGTCCTGTCTGGGGAAAGGATGCGGAGAGATTTATGAAGACAGGCAAACATTTCAGTTGGATCGTGGAGAACAGATAGGAATTTTGAGATAGACTGGGTGGGAAAAGGGCCACCCTAGGCCAAGGGAGCGGCCTCAGCAAAGAGGCAGAGATGTGAAAACACGGGATGTGCTGGGGAGCAATGTGAACCCCTGGGGGCTCGAGTGGGTGCTGAGAAGGGAATAACAGGAGATAAAACTGAAAACCTGTTGGGGGCTGGGTTGTAAAGGGTTTTGAATGACACCCCAAAAAATGTCAATTTCATCCAGCAAGGAAGCCATCGTAGCTTTTTTTTTTTTTTTTTTTTTTTTTACTGGGGGGCAGAGGGAGAAGGGGAAGTAATATAATCCTAACTCTCATAAACTAGTAGCAAATGAAAAGAATTCAACATACTTATTTTTTTTCAAGTCAGTAAGCATTTACAAATTAGTGAGAAGTCACTTACGGCTTAACTCTAATTATTGACCTCAAACAATACATTCTTCTTTCCCAATCTAAATATAATGCGCCCTCTTATGTTGTAGTAGTATCCTCTGTACAGTTTGCATTTTTATGTTTTTAATAGAACATTTTACTTTTCTTTCAATGGTCAAGAGAAAATATGCTGAAGATCGAGGGAGCATATTAGTGATAAAAGAAAGGGAAGGATTGCTTTCTATTTTCAATAGCTGCCTTTGTTTTTAAAGCAGATCAAGGAGAAAAGACTGGTCTAATCTATGACTTAGAATCATAGGCTGTAAATCCTAAAAAATCACTTAGTGCAGAGAAATCCAAGATTTGCCAATAGTGGGCCACATGATCAGAGGTCCAGTTGTATAAACTCTATCAGCATGTTTATGACTATAACAGTGAGTCAAGAGGGTCCTTGCTTAGCTATGGGAATTAGATATGATTCAAACCTTAGTCAAGCTGTGCAAGCTATCTACATAGCTGTTTTTCTCTTGTCAGTCTTTGGTTTCTTGATTTAATTTCATTCTAGTCCTATAATGAATTATACTTAACTGCAATGATAATTACTGAATGATCCAAGCTTGCTGCCATGACACCCAGCAACCTTTGGATACAAGATCTTAGTAGCAAGCAACAATTTAGAAACTACCTAATCCTATGTTTAATCAGTGCCTGCTAATTAGGAAAATCATCCACTTTTTGATAAAATCTCAAGAGATACTCACATATGAATGCATACACAAAACACGTATTTCTAATTACATGGTTGACTACTGAAAGAAAAAAACTTGGATACCTCTTAATAAGATGGATCTCTAGGGTCCCCTCCAGATACTAACCCAACCTCACCTTTTTACAAGTAAGGAATTCAGGAACCAAACAAGTTAAGTGACTTGCCCAAACTAGAGGCAGACCTGAAAAAAATTATATATAAGCCAAGTTTCCTGGTTTCCAGAGTTGTAATCTGTCCATGATGTCAGGCTGCCCCTTAACTGATGAGTACAGACAAGAAAATATCTTCATAGACACTGTCTCTGGCCAGTGTGGCTTAATTGGTTGGGCATCATTGCATGGACCAAAAGGTTGCAGGCTTGATCCCCAATAGGGGGCATGCAGGAGGCAACCAATCGATGTTACCCTCTTGCACCGATGCTTCGCTCTTCTCCCTTCCTCTCTCTCTAAAAATCAATGAACTATTATTTTAAAGAGGGAGAGAGAGAAACTGGGGCTGCACAATAAAATTCACCCTGCTCAGAATCATCACTTGAGGGTCTGTGGCATATTAGTGATAGAATCCCAACTTCATAGAAATCATCAATCAACATGCCCCCAAAAGCATGCAACCACATACATACATGTGGATATGTGAAGATTTCCCCCCTACAATGTCAGTCTAATTAACACATTATCTGATGGTTATCTAACTCTAACTTGACCATTCAATGGCAATACAATGGGCCAATTTAGGTGGAGATATTCTTAAATTGATAAAAGTCAGTATTTATTGGTTACTTTGAGCCAGATTCCAATTATACATCACCTCATTTAATCTCCCTAACAACCCTAAGTAGTGCTTTTATTATTATCTGCTTCTTCATTTTAGAAAGTGAAAGTGACTTGCCTAAAGATCTGGAATCAATATCTATACAATGGGATTCTAAATCCCTTGTTGTTAAGACATGTTCATCTGTGTTATTTTATGGGCTACCCCTGCACACATTATCCAGGTTATAGTCTATTCTTTTAAACAGCTTCTCCTCAAAAGTTAAACCTTAAAACAAGAACCTTGACTTTCTAAATCAACACCAAATTTTGAGAAATAGATGTTTAATTTTTTACTCTCCTTTATAATAATTTCACCAGTTATTTGAAGCTTTACATTTGGAAGAACTTAGCACTTTGTCATTTTAAACAAATCCTGTGAGAACATGACTAATTACTAATGAATGGTCTTGTAATGTTTAGTGTAACTCAAACAGGTAGAATACAAGTACAGTAAAAAAATGCTATAACTTAGTCCCAATTAAGCATGGTGGTAAGGTAGTCTGCTCAAAAGTATGGTAACTATAAAATAAAAATATTTTGCATTTTTATGTTCTATTTGGGAATCTTAAACTCCAGGTTAAGCAATGACTCAAACTAAATTGTTAATTTATATATGGCTGCTAGCACTTTAGTTATAAACTGTTGAAGGGGGTAAAATTACATTTTAACTATAGGGAGAATTTCTAGAATCTTTAAAAAAAAGTTAGTTTTAGCCTCAATGACTATTTTACTTTTTCAATCCTGTGAACTTTTGTTGAGAACTTCAGAAGCATGCCCTTATATGTTTACTAACCACCAGATACTGTATTCTATGAGACAAAAGCATTTAAATAATTCTAGTTTTATTTTGTTGTTGTTTATTCACTCATCATTCAATAGATATTTATAAAGTGTATTGTTCTGGGTCCTATAGCTATGACCAAGACCAAGTCCCAGCCCTCATGTTATTTACATCCTACTTAGTGAGAGAGACAGTAAACAAATGTAGCATAACAGTTAGTTGAGAGTTCAGGACAAATAACCTAAATCCAAATGTTTCCTGTACCACTCACAATTTATGTGACTTTGGGTAATTTATTTAACTTTTGTGTTCAGTGATTATACTGAAGATAATAATTAGTATTATATAGTAAATATATAGAATAAGGTTATGAATATTAAATAAGTTTAATGCATGTGAAGAGCTTAGAAAAGTATTTGGTGGCACATAGAAAGCCCTAAATAAATGTAAGCTATTATTAAGAAAACATAATTTAATGAGTGATTAGTATTTTAAAGGAAAATGCACTTTTTCTATATACATAATCAAGACTATCAATGAATAAGAAGTTAATCTCAGTATCTTTTTTTGTTGTTGTTGTTATGTGCCCCTAGCAGAACCCGAACCCAGGACTCTCTGGTCTGCAGGCCAACACTCCAACCGCTGAGCCAAACCAGCTAGGGCAATCTCAGTATCTTTAAAAGTATACTGTAAATATAGTTTTTAAATGATCACACCAAAGGATTCCATGAATCAAATGTAAAATACAGAGGAAAAATCTAAAATTTTGCCTACTGGGTGCATAGTGTGTATAATTTATTTCCAGGAAGCTTTAAAATTTTGAAAATCTCATAGCTCAACACTATCTTTAGTTTTACCTCTAACAATACAAACCTGTTCTCAACTCAAAACTGAAGAGAAAATCTACATGACTCTATGGAAAATCAGAAGATTACTCAATCTGGCACTGCAAAGAAGTGTCTGCTTCATAGCTAAAAAGAAAGTAGTGTGAAACTTAGCTGTTTTCCTAAAAGGGTTTATTTTAAAACACTCTCCTTTGGGATTTCCTTATATTTGTTCCCATAAGAGTCTGTGACTGAAATCTTTAGGTTTTGCTTGCCCTAACAGAAATAGAAAGTAACATTGGTAAATTTAAAGATGATTCTTGCAATTTGGGCTCCCAAATGGAATTTTTGCAGGCATAATACTACTGGGATAATAATTTCTATTGTTTTGATATATAGATTTTTAAAAATTGTGTAAAATTAATACATGTACAGCAGTATTTATTATGATGCAAAGGAAAGGATGCTGAATTTAGCCATTTTAATTCAGTAATGTATGAAGTCTTTGCATTTCAAGCATTTCCAAAAGGTAAAGAAGTAAACTGGATCACTCTGAGGGTTCCCTAAAGGCATATCAATCTGAAGACACAAAGGTTTGTTCTGTGGATATTTTCCCTTCTCCTTGAGTTGAAGTATCCTCAAGTTATATCAATAAAAACTTCTTTCTCACCCGGCCTGTGTGGCTCAGTGGTTGAGAGTTGACCCATGCACCAAGAGGTCGCAGGTTCAATTCTTAGTCAGGACACATGCCCAGGCTATGGGCCTGATCCCCAGTGGGGGGCATGCAGGAGGCGGCCAATCGATGTTCTCTCTCACTGATGTTTCTGTCTCTCTCCCTCTCCCTTCCTCTCCCTCTCTAAAATCAATACAGAAAGAAAAATAACTTTTTTA